GCAGTGTTTTCGAGGCACAGCTGTATCTGTGGCGTGTGGGTGTGTTAAGGAAGAGTGCTCCGGAACTGTTGCCTATCACAGTCTCAACTGGCAATGTTTAGAAATTTCTGAGCACAGACATGGGTAACAAACTAAGTACAAGGCAGCTGGCTGGCTTTGCTGTGAGAGTAAATCTAGGAGAACCAGAGCAGAAACACAACCACCTGGCTTGCTTATAACTGAGGGCCGTGAGCCAACACCATTACGTGTATGCCGTCACTCTGCTCAGTCAATCTCAGACTGCAGAAATGGTTAGTAATAGCAAAACTGGAAACAACATAATGACCCATCAATAGGAACTTAGTAAATAAAATTAGTACGGAGTAAAACTGAAATAAGTTGACATTTATTGTGTCCTTACATTCCCCACTGTTCTAAATGATTTCATTTATCTAATCTTATCATAACAGTATGAGATCATAAATGAAATTATGAACCTTTTTTTACAAAAACTATGTAAAGCAGATTCCATATGTACTGGATTAGCCTCCTTGCATTTTGAATGCTTGGCTGCAGAGCCTGGGAGGGAGTGGGAAGAGTTGAGGAGTATAGGTGACAGACAAAGTCACACTTTTGTGTAAATTAACATTGAACTGAAATCTGAAAATGGAAAATAAATTACAAAGAGGAACTTTTGGGGGAGGGTGTATGGTTTAACTTTTGTTTTTTGTTTTTAAAGTATAGGTTTCAGATCTCTGTCTAGAAAGCTTAGCTACCCCTCTCGCCACCTTCTTCCCTAGACAAATCTGACTCATCCTTAGGGATCAGCTCAAAAGCCACTTCTCAGCGAGATCTTCCCTGACTGCTCCCTAAACGATTAGACTCCCTATTAACTTCTTCTCATGGCACCCTGTTATTATTCAAGAGAGTTGATCACAGTTTATAATTGTCACTTGTTTCTATGGCCTAGTTTCTATGCCTTTCTATGGCACATTGGGCCAGTGTTTGCATGCTTACTGACTGTAAGCTCAGAAGGCAAGAACCACATCTGTCCTGTTGGCCTCTGAACACTCATCCAGTGCCTAGAGCCCTAGTACATAGTAGGCAAGCCTTAGAAATGTGTGTTGAAATGATGGATCAAGGAAGATAGCACCTTAAGTCTGAGACTCTGTCCTTTTTTCTACTCCCTTTTTTATATTTGTTCAGATTTAAGAATAGAGATAGCTGCAAAGCTGGAATTGGAATTTTATAAGCTTTGCCCAAACACCTTTACTTCTAAAATTCAAAGTTCCTTTGAACATTGCTCCAAAAATATCTCGCTGCTATGAAAGAGACATGTGTTGTGCTGTACAGATGCTTTGGCTAGATCCAAAAGATAAAAAAAAACCTCCAATGCCATTTTCTAAAAGACAGACATAGTAAATAAGGTCATACTGCTAATAACTGTCTAGGTAAAACATTTTTTTTTTTTTTTTTTTTTGAGACAGAGTCTCACCCTGTTGCTGCTAGAGTGAGTGCCATGGCGTCAGCCTAGCTCACAGCAACCTAAACTCCTGGCTCAAGCAATCCTACTGCTCAGCCTCCCAAGTAGCTGGGACTACAGGCATGCGCCACTATGCCTGGCTAAGTTTTTACATATATATTTTTAGTGTTTGGCTATTTCTTTCTATTTTAGTAGAGATGGGTCTCGCTTTGCTCAGGCTGGCCTAGATTCCTGAGCTCAAACTATCCGCCCACCTCGCCTGAGTGGGTAGGATCACAGGCATGAGCCACTGTGCCCAGCCCTGTTTTTCTGATTATAGACCAAATCTATAATCACTAGGATAGCTGAAGGTGAGCTCTGTAAGGAAGGTGAGAAATCTATAGGTTACATTCATATTGCTGCTTTTTTTTTTTTTTTTTTTTACACAGAGTCTCACTTTGTTGCCCAGGCTAAAGTGAGTGTCATTAGGATCAGCCTAGCTCACAGCAACCTCAATCTTCCTGGGCTCAAGTGATCCTCCTGCCTCAGCCTCCCAAGTAGCGACTACAGGCATGCACCACCATGCCGGCTAATTTTCTTTTTTGTATATATATTTTTAGTTGGTCAATTAATTTCTTCTATTTTTAGTAGAGACGGGGTCTCGCTCAGGGTTTGAACTCCTGACCTCGAGCAATCTGCTCACCTCAGCCTCCCAGAGTGCTAGGATTACAGGCGTGAGCCACCACGCCTGGCCTTGCTCTTTTTTTTAAAGTAAAATAAATCATCATTACTGCAAGAATGGAAAAGAAAAAGAATAAAAAATTTTAAAAAAATAAAGTAAAATATGATCTGACTCTTTCCTCAAAAAACCATTTTTCTTTTTCTGCCATTGCTACCAACCAGTCCACAAGTTACTCAGTCACTATTGTATGTGACTCCTATACCCCAGTACTCTGAATTATAGTTATTTGCTTCCTTGTCTCTGTGTCCACTAGATCATGAGCTCCTTGAGGACAGGGGCCCTGTCTTATTATTGTTCTCTTTCAGAACCTAGCACGACATACAGGGCACAGTAGGTGGTGCTCAATGTTTGTTGAATGAATGGCGTTGATCCTTTATTATCAAAGTCCAATTCTTGCCAAAGAAGACCAGACAGGTTTGGTTACCTTGGCTACTTAGTGTCTTTGAAAAAGTATTCAGTGTGAGAGGTACTGTCTGAGTTACATTGTTCTCACTCACTTTATGTGTTGATGGCAGGATGGATAAATTAAGTCCACAGGCCGGGCGCGGTGGCTCACGCCTGTAATCCTAGCACTCTGGGAGGCCAAGGCGGGAGGATTGCTCGAGGTCAGGAGTTTGAAACCAGCCTGAGCAAGAGTGAGACCCGGTCTTACTATAAATAGGAAGAAATTAATTGCCAGAGTAATACATATAGAAAAAATTAGCGGGGGCATGGTGGCGATGCCTGTAGTCCCAGCTACTCGGGAGGCTGAGGCAGGAGGATCGCTTGAGCCCAGGAGTTTGAGGTTGCTGTGAGCTAGGCTGACGTCATGGCACTCACTCTAGCCAGGGCAACAGAGTAAGACTCTGTCTCAAAAAAAAAAAAAAAAAAAATAGGTCCACAGACAGACCTTATTTGAATCTGTTTCAACTTCCTTCCTTATAAAAGCATTTGTTAAAGTTGCCAATGAATTGGAGTATAATGGCTGGCACCTGTAATCCCAGCAACTCAAGAGGCTGAGACAGAGATGAGACTAGCAGGAGTTTGAGACCAGCTTGGGCAACATAGCAAGACCGTCATCTCTTAAAAAAAAAAAAGGAAAAATGAGCCAGGCATGGTAGCATGCTACTGCAGTCTCAGCTACTTGGGAGGCTGAGGTGGGAGGATCGCTTGAGCCCAAGAGTTCAAGGCTACAGTTAGCTATGATCCTGCCACTGAACTCCAACCTGGGTGACAGAGAGAGACCACATCTCTTTAAACAATAACAACAAAAAAAAGTTGCCAACGAGAAGCAGAACTGACAGATTTTAGTCTCATTTTTTATTTCCCAAGTCTGACTGTAGAGATGGCCTGAAGAGCAGAAGCAGAGAGAGAGACAGGCCCTAGGGCCTGAAGGACTGCCAGCTCCCTGGGAGGGAGGAAGGGAGGGAGTTAGCTACCAATGCTAATGGATCTGTGTGAGGCCTGAGCCAGAAGAGCTGTCTAGGTTTCAAAATTCCCCTCTCAGCTTCCTCACTGTCCCTCAAAATGGGGAGCACACCTCTGGGCTAAACCCAATAGTGAGGCCCACCTCCCAGTTTCCCAAGCTGCCTCTGGTCACTTTTCTGTCTCCTCAAAAGAGACACAAAAATCAATCTTTCAAAAAAGTTACCATCATTCGGAATGAATGTGAGAAACAAATGCTCAGATACTACATTAGGGGGCTCTGTCCTTTCCTTCATGTATTTGCTGCCTGAGGCCATTCTTTTTTTTTTTTTGAGACAGAGTCTCACTCTGTTGCCCCGGCTAGGCTAGAGTGCTGTTTGTTGTATCAGCGTAGCTCACAGCAACCTCAAACTCCTGGGCTCAAGCGATCCTCCTGCCGCAGCCTCCTGAGTAGCTGGGACTACAGGCATGTGCCACCATGCCTGGCTAATTTTTTATATATATTTTTAGTTGGTCAATTAATTTCTTTCTATTTTTAGTAGAGACGGGGTCTCGCTCTTGCTCAGGCTGGTTTCGAACTCCTGGACCTCGAGTGATCCGCCCGCCTCAGCCTCCCAGAGTGCTAGGATTACAGGTGTGAGTCACCGCACCCGGCCTCCAATCCTATTTTATACTTGAGCTATGCTGAGCCAAATTCGGATTCCAGACCAAGAGCTGCCCTGCATGGAAGTGCGCAGCTGCATGCCCTCTTGCCTCTGTGAGGAACTCCTCCCCTCGTCTGCAGAGCACATTTGTGTCCCTTCTCAGAGCCTCAGCCCAACTCTAACTGCCTGCGCAAAGCCCCTCTCTGCTTTTCCTTACACCCTGGCCCCCATGCTCCATGCACCTGGCTGCACTAAAGTAATCATCTCACCATCTTGCTGTACTCTGTATACTGGTAGGCTTATTTTCTCACTGGCTTGTGCAGTCCTCAAGGGCAGGCACTGAGTCCTGTCCACTGCCATAGCCCGCTCTGCATCACAGGAGCCAAGCACAAGGCTTATCTCTTGGTGGAGGCTCCAATATTTGTTGAATGAATGAACTCCATTTGCATTTTATCTCTGGCACCGTCTAAACCAAAGAAATCACACTTGTCTTCTCAGAAGAGGGAACATATTCAAATACCAAGAATTGCAGTTCCTGGTAAGACCTTGCAGAAAATAACGTTACCAACAGCAGCAACTGGAAACTCAGCAGAATGAGCGCCTGAAAGAGTGAGATGGGCCAGGACTTGAACAGTCAGGGTTTAAGGAGCCTGGGGCATAGGGTGCAGAGGGGAGGTTCACAGTGGTCTAAAGCTTAAGCTTAAGAATCACAAACTTACTCAATAATCTTGAGAGATCAAAAAAGAAAAAAAAAAGAATCACAAACAACTTCTTAAGAATTACGTATATTTACATTGTAGATCTAGAATGCACTTGTCCAGGTAGAAGCTGCTCCAGGCAATCCAAATGCCACACATCTGGAACTGCCCCCCCAGCTGTTAGAGCCAGCATTTCAGATAGGCGATAAACTGGACTGGCTTTGGAAAGTCCACTCTAAAACAAAGTCACCTGTTGTCATTGTCCTCCTCCCCAGCTGCCCTCTTTAGTTCTCCATGGGGCTCCCAGTGTGCTCAGGGTCATGGGGAGAACTCTTCAGCTCCGGGGTTGACAGGTGCTCCAACTCATAGTGCCCATTCTCAGAGGCCTTGTGTGCGAGTTTCTCCTTCGTGCCCTCCTTCTGGCTCCTCTTGTGCTCAATAATCTGCTGGAGCTGGTGCCCAGCGTATTCTGGCTTGGTGGTTAGCGGGCCAGCCGGCACAGTGACGCCAAGGACATCTGACACCATGTAGGGGCGCAGCCAGCCCACCAAGGGAGTGCTTCCAGGGCTATAGTGGGTCTGCTTGTGGTAGAAGAGAAGTCCATCTACCTACAAGAGGGGAAATGAGGGATCAAAATGACTCTGGGACCATGCTTCCAGGGGAGCCTATATACACAAGGACAGCTCTTATGGTCCAAATCCTTTTTCTGGGTCACTGACAAGAGGAAAAAGAGTCCTTACTTCTCACATGAAGAAATGACCCAGAAAACTAAATTTTAGAAAATACAAACCTAAATAGCACTTAAGGTACTCTCCTACCATTTCCCCCTCTGATCCACCCTGAGGGTGTCTGAGAAAACAGGGCTGCTCAGAGTCAGGGGGCCCTAAAAACACAGTGAGTGTGAAGCAGAAATTAAACCTTAACCCAGGTCTTCTGTCCCCAGATTCCACATACTTTCCACTTAGAGGTCTGCACACGTGGATGAGCTCCAGGCAGGGAACACAAAGCGGGAGAATTGCACGGCCCCTCCACTAGACTGCTGAGTGCAGGGGACATAGGCTGTCCAGAAGGCCTGCTCCCCCAGCTGCCATCGGCTGCCTAAACCTCCCCCTAAACTGTCTGCAAGCCATGTTCTGGGAAACTCAGTTTTCCTCAATGGGAAGACCTCCTACAGTCCCACATTTTCTTTTCTGTGATTCAGTGACTCATCTCTAAAAAGCATTTATTGCCACTGTGGCATAAGGGTTATAAATAAAGATGGTGTTCTTACCACCTTCTTAATTGACTCCTAGAAATACAGGCAACTCAGCCTTTGGCATTTCCTTCCTTGGGAAGCTGTGATCCTTTTATGAAACTATATTGAGTCCAAGCAAATACTTGTAGGTGACTAGGCAGAATTTTAAAGGGTGTGATGGGCAAAGGAAAACCTGCTTGTTGAGCCTGAAGAAGGTAGCAGGAAGAGGCACACAAGAAGGACCTCGGAATGGAAGTTCTTGCCCCTCTCTGGGCCTCAGTTTCCCCATCTATGAAACGAGAGAGCGGATGAGCTCTCTGTCAAGGGCCTTCCAGCTCTGGCACTCCCACACACCCTGCAGGAGTGGAGTGGAAGCTCTGAAGGCGGCGAGCACACCCTCTCCCAGATTAGTGTTCAGTCCCTTTCTGATGCTTTGACACAGCAAAGTCAGCAGACATTTTAAGACCTTGCGTAACCAAATCCCCCTGTATCCTACGGTCATATCAAAGCAGTCAAGACAATAGTTTTGTTACCTCAAAAGGGAAATCCATAGAAAGCACCTTACACAGACTCTCAGGGGTACAAGGGAAATTCTTTAGCCCCACAAATTTAAACTGAAATATAAATTAGAAAAAAGAATTAGTACATGTTACAAATGATACTGGTTCTGGCAATTGAACAGCTCTATCGAAGCAGCAAAGTTTTTTTTGAGACAGAGACTCACTCTGTTGCCCAGGCTAGAGTGCCGTGGCGTCAGCCTCGCAACCTCAATCTCCTGGGCTCAAGTGATCCTCCTGCCTCAGCCTCCCAAGTAGCTGGGACTACAGGCATGTGCCACCACGCCTGGCTCATTTTTTCTATATATATTTTTAGTTGGTCAATTCATTTCTTTCTATTTTTAGTAGAGATAGGGTCTCGCTCTTGCTCAGGCTGGTTTCGAACTTCTGACCTCAAGTAATCTGCCCGCCTCGGGCTCCCAGAGTGCTAGGATTACAGGCGTGAGCCACCGCGCCCAGTTAGCAAAGTTTTCAGTTTCATCCTCTCTACCCGTCTCCTCCACCTACCCTCTGAACTATACAGTCAGTGTTCTCAACCCTCCTTTACACGCAAGAATCAGGCCGGGTGCAGTGGCTCATGCCTGTAATCCCAGCACTCTGGGAAGCCAAAGCAGGAGGATCACTTAAAGCCAGGAGTTCAAGGCTTCAGTGAGCTATGATCTCACTACCACACTCTAACCTAGATGACAAAGTAAGACCCCATCTCAAAAAAAAAGAAAAAGAAAAAGAAAAAAAGGATCATCTGAGAAGCTTTTAAAAATTACTGATACCTAGGCCCTACCCTGAGATCCTGAGTGAACTGTGCTGGGTGGGCCCTGACATTTTTTTTTAAACTCTCCAGTTGATTTTAACACAGAGTCAGGACTGAGAACCACTGTACTGTATGTACTGGGTTGAGGGATTGTGTGTTATTCTCTTGGCCTCACCACAGCTATCCCTAATGAAGGGATAGTGAAGCCCTTTTCATACCAGCAGGATATTTGGACTAAAGACTGAAGCAGTGTAACAAAGTGATCAGGAATACAAATTCTAAAGTCAGATTGCCTGGATTTGAATCCAAGCTCTGCCAATCATTTACTCTCCATATGCTTCCATTTTCCTATCTGTAAGCCAGGATGCTAAAAGTACATTATCTACTTCATAGGGTTGTTGTGTGGATTTAGTGAGGTCAGACATGTAGAACATTTAAAACAGCATCTCAGAGAGAGATGCTCCCATGTTCCTCAATGTGTGTTCTTCAATGTGTGTCTTCCTCAATGTGTGTTCTTCCAGGACCTACTTGATGACATCACTGAAAGCACAGATCATATTTATTCTCCTATAACTGATTGTCCAATGGCCTTTAAAAATTTTTGCAAGCAATGTAAACAAATGCCAATCTGCAAGGCTTAGCTAACAAAATGCCCTGAAAATAGCTGTCATGTATTTATTTATTTATTTTTATTTTACTTTATATTTTTTGAGACAGAGTCTCACTCTGTTGCCGGGGCTGGAGTGCTGTGGTGTCAGCCTAGCTCACAGCAACCTCAATCTCCTGGGCTCAAGCAATCCTTCTGCCTCAGCCTCCCAAGTAGCTGGGACAACAGGCATGCACCACCATGCCCAGCTAATTTTTTCTATATATACTGTTAGTTGGCCAATTAATTTCTTTCTATTTATAGTAGAGACGGGGGGGGGGGGTCCTCACTCTTTTTTTTCTTGAGACAGAGTCACACTTTGTTGCCCAGGTTAGAGTGAGCGCCGTGGCGGCAGCCTAGCTCACAGCAACCTCAATCTCCTGGCCTCAAGAAATCCTACTGCCTCAGCCTCCCAGTAGCTGGGACTACAGGCATGCGCCACCATGCCCAGCTAATTTTATTAGTTGGCCAATTAATTTCTTTCTATTTATAGTAGAGACGGGGTCTCGCTCTTGCTCAGGCTGGTTTTGAACTCCTGACCTTGGGCAATCCTTCCACCTGGCCTTCCAGAGTGCTAGGATTACAGGTGTGAGTCACCCCGCCCAGCCAGCTGTCATGTATTTAAATCATTGAGTAGACAATAAGACACCTGGGCTGTCATCCTGGACTGTGGGACCTTGGGGAAGGTAGTCCCTTCTCTGAGCCTGTATTCTCACCTGTGAAGTGAAAGGAATGACTAGATGAGGGCACTCCCTGCTTAGATACAAGAGCAATAGTTCTCAAAGAGTGGTCCCTGGATTGGCAGTCCTGCTAAGGAACTTTTCATAAATGCAGATTCTCAGGCCCTACCCTAGACCCTATACTTACTGAATCAGAAACTCAGGGGTTGAGGCCCAGGAATCTGTTTTACCAAGCCTCCAGGTGCTGCTGATGAATGCTAAAGTTTGAAAACCAATAGATTAGAATTCTAAATAGCATTATTAATAAAAGTAGCTAGTAGTATTTTATATCAACCATTATTTATTGAGTGCTTACCATAAGTATCATGCTAAGAGGACTTGATAGCGTTTGGTTCCCATAACAACCTTATAAATTAGATGTTATTAATCCTATTTTACAGGCCGGGTGCGGTAGCTCACGCCTGTAATCCTAGCACACTGGGAGGCTTAGGTGGGTGGAATGCTCAAGGTCAGGAGTTCAAAACCAGCCTGAGTGAGACCCCGTGTCTACTATAAAAAAAATAGAAAGAAATTAATTGGCCAACTAATATATATATATAAAAAAATTAGCCGGGCATGGTGGCACATGCCTGTAGTCCCAGCTACTCGGAGGGTTGAGATAGGAGGATGGCTTGAGCCCAGGAGTTTGAGGTTGCTGTGAGCTAGGCTGCCGCCACGGCACTCACTCTAGCCTGGGCAACAAAGCGAGACTATCTCAAAAAAAAAAATCCTATTTTACAGATGAAGAAACTAAGGCCAGTGAGATTATTAACTTAACCTAGTAATAATTAAACCAAAAGTGGAATTCAGTCTGGATGACTGTGAAGTCCATACTCTTCCCACCATACCATGCTGCCTCAAAAAAGATAATTTCATTCATAATGATTATATTTAGATAACAGACCAATCCACCTCAATCTTCATAAAGAGCTCTATAAGTCTAATACCAGGCCTTACAGGATTGAGTTTGGTTTTCTCTCCCAGTCCTTCTTCTGGTAACTTTGAATGCATCCAGTAGAATCGGAAATCAGTCTGCCAGGGAAAGGAAGAAGAAAGATGAAATACTGATAATCTCAAACTCTAATATAAACAAAAACACCTTGTTCTAAATAGTCACCTGACTTATGAAGACCTAAACTCTTCTGTTATTAATCCCATTTCTCTTAAAACCATAAGATCAGGAAGATGTTTATAAAATCTTTGAAGACTATCTTCTTAAAATCCAGTAGGATTAGCCGGACACGGTGGCTCACGCCTATAATCCTAGCTCTCTGGGAGGCTGAGGCGGGCGGATTGCTCGAGGTCAGGAGTTCGAAACCAGCCTGAGCAAGAGCGAGACCCCATCTCTACTATAAATAGAAAGAAATTAATTGGCCAACTAATATATATAGAAAAAATTAGCCGCGCATGGTGGCGCTTGCCTGTAGTCCCAGCTACTTGGGAGGCTGAGGCAGAAGGATTGCTTGAGCCAGGAGTTTGAGGTTGCTGTGAGCTAGGCTGACGCCACGGCACTCAATCTAGCCTAGGCAACAAAGCGAGACTCTGTCTCAAAAAAAAAAAATCCAGTAGGATTATTAATAGTAGCAGAGTTAACATTTATCACCACAGGCCAACTCTATGTCAGGCTCCATGAGAAAGGGTTTACACACACAATCTTATTAATCTTCAAATACCCTCTGGGAGGTTGCATTATCATCTTTTCCATTGTACAGGTAAGGACTCTGAGATTCAGAGATGTTAAGTCATTTGCCTGGGTACACAGATAAACTACTAGGGGACCCAGGACCCTTCAATGCCAAAGCATATTATATTAACCCTTTTGCTTTATTTTAATTCTAAGTATTAGAAACTAATACTAATAGAGTTGTAACTTTTCAGAAATTACTATATTGTCTGATTTTGTGTGCTTTGTAGTTATTTAGGGCCTTTTCATTCTTTTAAATTATTTTGCTTTTAGAAATTAAAAAAAACATATACAGGCTGGGCAATGTGGCTCACACCTGTAATCCCAGCACTTTGGGAAACCAAGGAGGGAGAACTGCTTGAGCCCAGGAATTCAAGATCAGCCTAAGCAACATAGTAAGATGGTGTCTCTACAAAAAAAAATTTTTTAAATTAGCCAGGCGTGGTGGCACGCACCTGTAGTCCTAGCTACTTTGGATGCAGAGCCAAGAGGATCACTTGAGCCCAAGAATTAGAGCTTGCAGTTAGCTATGATCATGCTACTGCACTCCAGCCTGGGTGACAGAGTGAGATCCCATCTCTAAAAAATTAATAATAAACAAACACATAGTCTTCTCTTTATATTATAAGAACATAGGGGGCTTTAGTTATCAAATTCATAGGTTTGTTTCTTTTTTTTTTTTTTCACGGCCTTTTGACTGAAAAATTCATAGGTTTGAATGCATATTATGAAATATCCTTCAACAGAATTAAAGGAAAATATGTCTCGTTTGTTTGTTTTAGAGACAGGGTCTCACTCTGTTGCCTAGTCTAGAGTGCAATGGTGTAATCATAGCTTACTGTAACCTTACTCCTGGGCTCAGGCAACCCTTAAGCCTCAGTCATCCAAGAAGCTGAGACTATAAATGTGCGCCACCATGCTCACCATGAGCCACCATGCCCACCTAAATTTTAAATTTCTGCTGTCAATTAGTTTATCATAGTTATTCTCAATGTGTGTGGTTCTCAATTTTTGGGGGGTCTTGCTATGTTGCCCAGGCTGGTCTCTAACTCCTGGGCTCAAACAATCCTCCTGCCTTAGCCTACCAAAGTGCCAGGATTACAGGTATGAGCCACCATGCTCAGCCAGAAATCATGTCTTATTCTTAGGGGTCAATTTGGCAAAAATAGAAAGGAAAGAAAGAGGAAAGGAAGGAAAGAAAGAGGAAAGGAAGGAAGGAAGGAGAAAGGAAAGAAAGCAAGAAGGAAGGAAGGCAGGAAGGAAAGGGAAAGAAAGAGAAAGAGAAGGAGAAAGAGAAAGAGAAAGAGAAAGAGAAAGGGAAAGAAAGAGAAAGAGAAGGAGAAAGAGAAAGAGAAAGAGAAAGAGAAAGAGAAAGAGAAAGAGAAAGAGAAAGAGAAAGAGAAAGAGAAAGAGAAAGAGAAAAAGAAGAGAAACATGGCCTGGATTGAATTTACATTCTGGGTTGTAGGCTTGGCTCTGCACTTGGGCAAGATACTTGACATCTTTCCGTAATATCTGTGCTTCTTAACATTTCAGCTTCTGTATCTATGTGATAAAGATAATAATAGTACCTACCTTATAGTGTTGCTGCAAGGGATTCAATGAGATAATGCCCACAAAGTGCTTAGCAATGCAAATTTTTTTTTTTAGAGACAAGATCTTACTATGTTGTCCAGGTTGGAGTAACAGTGGCTATTTACAGGTATGAGCAGGCATCCTCAAACTGCGGCCCTTAGGCCACACGCAGGTGTTTTTGCCCGTTTGTTTTTTTACTTCAAAATAAGATATGTACAGTATGCATAGGAATTTGTTCATAGTTTTTTTATTTTTTATTTTTATTTTTTGAGACAGAGTCTCACTTTGCTGCCCAGGCTAGAGTGAGTGTCATGGCGTCAGCCTAGCTCACAGCAACCTCAAACTTCTGGGCTCAAGCGATCCTGCTGCCTCAGCCTCCCGAGTAGCTGGGACTACAGGCATGCGCCACCATGCCTGGCTAATTTTTTCTATAGATATTAGCTGGCCAATTAATCTCTTTCTATTTATAGTAGAAGCGGGGTCTTGCTCTTGCTCGGGCTGCTAGGATTACAGGTGTGAGCCACCACCCCAAACAAGCCCAGGAGTTTGAGGTTGCTGTGAGCTAGGCTGACTCCACGGCACTCAATCTACCCTGGGCAACAAAGCAAGACTCTGTCTCAAAAAAAAATAAAAAAAAAAAAAAGAACTGCAGATTTCCTTTTGAGTTCCTCCTATGTCTTTTAAAAAACTAAGCTAATTTAAACACACTCAAAAGATGCAGAGAGGATTAGATAATGTTCTTGATATATCACATCCTGTACACACTGAGAAGTTGGTCATGTACCAAACCCACGTGCCGAGTCACTTTCCTGGGAGGAGAAGAGAATACAGGAAAAGACATGAGGGGAGCATCACTCCTTACCTGGCAGTCATAAAAAGGGTGTCCCCGCCAGCACATCACATCCAGAACGTAGTAGGTCTGGTTCACCTCACTGTAAATGCAATCTAGGATGGTGTAGTCTAAGGATACAAAGCAGAAAGCCAGTCCACGCTTCCCCTTCCAAGCAGGGCTTCCTCCGGCACAATCTAGGGAGCCCCATTGCAGAGGCTCGAGTGCAGCAATCCTCAGTGCTGGCAGAAATGGCCAGTGTGAAAAACTAAAGATTCACTAGGGAGAAAACTGTTCACAGCCCTTTCTGGCTACCTGGGACAGCTTAAGGACGATGTGGGGTAGGATAGCACAAGAGGGATGAGGCCGACCCTAAGCCAAGTGGGAACTGTAGTTTTAGATAAATTGAGACATTTGCTCACCTTAGAGAAGTTCAAAAGCCAAGTAATCTTCCATTTTAGTTTACAATAACTTTTTTTTATAATGTTCAACATAATGATGTTTTTGAAGCAGTTTTATTTATTTTTTTATTTTAGCATATTATGGGGGTACAAGTGTTAAGGTTATCATGTATATTGCCCATGTCTTCCCTCCCCTACAATGACTTTATGAGTTCTACCATGGGCTCTGTGGGAAATAGTAAGGTAGTCCCTGCCTTTTAATAAGTTATAATCCAGTTAAGGTGATAAGATGATCACAGAAGAAAGAACTGAAAACCAAACATACAGCACACACTGGGAGCAGCAGGAGTCCCAGAAGGAGAAGCCTACACAGCAGGGAATGCTTCACGGAGAGATGCAAACACAGACTCGGGCCAGGAGAGCCTATGCAACGGGCAGGGGGAGATGGCAGAGAACACTTCAAACCTGAGCACTGAAGTGGCATGAGCAAAAATCCGGGGCAGAAGGAACCGGGCACACGTGGAGAGCAAGGAGCAAGTAGGCAGAACAGGGGGAGTGTGAGCAGTGGGGGAAGCCAGGAGGAGGGGTGGGCCAAATCCTGCAAAGGAAAGGTACTAAAGGCCAACAGAGGAGTCTGTGCTCAGTACAGAGGGTGTGAGGAACCACCACGGGAGTCTGCTCTCAATTCCTCATTTCACCTCCATGACCTCAGCCTACTCAGCCAGGCCTAGGTGGGAAGCTAAGGTCAGCACAACAATAAAGAGGAAAGGGAATTTGGCGTGGAGGCTCAGCAACAGCTGACTACATCATTATGCCTAGCAGCTTCTCAGGGACCTTTCCACCAAAACCTGCATCTGTCACCTTGTAATGGAAGTCCAAAGGCATGCTGACCTTAATTCAGGAATTTATGACCCAGCAGGCTTCACAGGGCTGCAACTATTCTCCAACTGAGGATGCCTAGCCTTGAAGGGAAGGGCCTGGATCCAGGGGCCAGGAGAGTGTCTATGTGCAGTTTCAAAGGTATGACTTCAAAGTGGGTCTTTAAAGCAACTGACACTGTCTTTTACTGATTATAAATCTTAATAAATAAACATTATATGTAGGTACCTTTAGCCGTTGTTGAATTTTGCCTATTGCCTCCTGGCAGAAGGGAAGAAAACCTATTAACACAGTAGCCGCTCTTGGTGTAGGCACTGGTAGAACCCTGTGTGGAGGGAAAGTTTATTTGCGTTAGGCAGCAAGTCTCCTAGCCCTCCTGCTTCCTCATTCTGCAGAGTGTCATCAACCAAAGATGGCTCTCAATAAATTCTGCAGGACAGCATTTCCAGTCCCATTCCAGACACAGCTGCTGTGGCAGACAACAAAAACATAGGCAAAGAATCCCTTCCACTACAGGCCAGGCCTGCTGGCATGGGGGGTGGGAGGTAGCTACTCACCCTGGAGGCCACAATAAGGGCTCTTTTTCCAACAGGGCACACGACCACAATCCACTCCTGCCCCAAATCTGAAGGGACATCAATTAACCACTCAGAGAGCATCAACTGGGAACACAAAAACATGTTGTTAAAGATCAGCAAGGGTGGCCTGCTCTGATGTTTACAATGACAAGCCATTCACATCCTACATACACAATATAATTGCAAGTGAAAGAATGAGGGCAGAAAAGGCTTAAAGTGGGTGTCCCCTGGTGTGTCCCCTGCACAATGACAGGATGGAGACCATTCATTGTGAACTTCAGCTTCTCTGCTCCCTGTCATCACGTGCACCCACACTATCCTTACTGCCCTCAGCTACTGGATCAGGGTAATGGGACCTCTTCCATTCCTTACTTTGTCCACCTACCCCCAAGAATATCAGGAAATCTGCTTAAAAAAAAAATTCATGGCCGGGCACAGTAGCTCATGCCTATGATCCTAGCACTTTGGGAGGACAAGGCAGGAGGATCATTTGAGCCCAGGAGTTTGAGGTTGCTGTGAGCTAGGCTGACGCCACGGCACTCTAGCCCAGGCAAGAGAGTGAGACTCTGCCCTCCCCCCCCAAAAAAAGAGCAAATGGCTGGATGCAGTGGCTCCAGCCTATAATCCAAGCAGTTGGAGGCTGAAGTGGGAGGATCTCTTGAGGCCAGGAGTTTGAGACAAGCCTGGGCAAAACAGCAAGACCCCATCTCTATAAAAAATAAAAAAACTAGCTGGGTGTAGAAGTGTGTATCTATAGTCTCAGCTACTCAAAAGGCTAAGGCAGAAGGATCACTTGAGCCCAGGAGTTTGAGATTGCAGTGAGCTATTAATATGACAACACCACTGCACTCTGGCCTGGGTGACAGATGGAGACCCTGTCTCAAAAAAAAAAAAAAAAAATAGGCAAAGGATTTGAATAGACATTTCTCCAAAGAAGATATACAAATGCCCAATAAGCACATGAAAAAATGCTCAACATCATTAATCACTAGGGAAATGCAAATTAAAACCATGAGATACCACTTCACACTCACTAGTATGGCTGTACTTAAAAGGATGGACAATAACAAGTGTCCGCAAAGATGTGGAGAAATTGGAACCCTCAGACATCACTGGTGGGAAGGTAAAAGAGTGTAGTCACTTTGGAAAACAATCTAGCAGTCCCTCAAAAGGTTAAACATAGAGTTATCATATGACACAGAAATTCCACTTCTAGGTATATACCCAAGAGAGACAAAAACATATGTTCCCACAAAATCTTACATATATGAGTTCAGGCACAGTGGTATGTACCTGTAGTCCTAGCTATTAAGGAGGCTGAGGCAGGAGGATCTCTTGAGCCTAGGAGTTTGAGACCAGCCTGAGCAACATAGAAAGACCCCATCTCAAAAAAACAAAACCAGGCCAAGCAAGGTGGCTCACGGCTGTAATCCTAGCACTCTGGGAGGCCGAGGTGGGCGGATCACTCAAGGTCAGGAGTTCAAAACCAGCCTGAGCAAGAGTAAGACCCCTGTCTCTACTGAAAATAGAAAGAAATTAATTGGCCAACTAAAAATATGTAGAAAAAAAAAAAATTAGCCAGGCATGGTGGCGCATGCCTGTAATCCCAGCTACTTGGGAGGCTGAGGCAGGAGGATCGCTTGAGCGCTTGAGCCCACGAGTTTGAGGTTGCTGTGAGTGAGGCCGATGTCACGGCACTCTAGTCCGGGCAACAGAGACTCTGTCTCAAAAAAAAAAAAAAAAAAAAAAACAACCACAAAACAAAACCAAAGCAAAACCAAAGCAAAACAAAACAAAACCTTTGTAATAGTCAAAAAGTGGGAGCAGCTCAAATAGCCACCAACTGAAGAATGGATAAACAAAATGCAATACATCCACATAGTGGAACATCACTCACACAGCAGAACATCACTTGTAATAAAAGGAGGGAAGCACTGACATTATTCATGCTACAGTATGGATGCATCTTGAAAATCTTATGCTAAATGAAAGAAACCAGTCACAAAAAGCTACATATTATATGATTCTGTTTGTGTAAAATGCCCAGAATAGGCAAATCCATAGACACAGAAAGTAGATTAGTGGTTGCCAGGGGCAGAAAAAAAGAAGGAATGCAGAGTGACTGCTAATGAGTATGCAGTTTCTTTTTGGGGTGATAAAAGTATTCTACAATTAAATAGTGGTGGTTGGGCTCGGAGTGGTGGCTCAGGCCCATAATCCTAGAATTCTGGGAGGCCAAAGTGAGAGGATCACTTGAGGTCAGAAATTCGAGACCAGCCACAGCAATACCGAGACTCTGTCCATACTAAAAATAGAAAAAATTAGCCAGATGTCATGGCATGCGCCTGTAGTCCCAGCTACTTGGGGGACTGAGGCAGGAGGATTGCTTGAGCCCAGGAGTCTGGGGTTGCTGTGAGCTAGGCTGATGCCACAGCACTCTAGTCCAGGAAACAGAGCAACACTCTGTCTCAAACAAAAAACAGTGGTGACTGTTGCATAGTCTTGTGAATATACTAAAAAACACTGAACTGTGCACTTAAATAGGTAAACTGTATGGTATGTGAATTATATCTTAAAACAGCTTTTTAAAAAAATAGTAGTAGCAGATAACACTTGTGGGGCACATATTATGGGCTCTGGGCTAGGTATTTAAGGTATACTATCTCATTTAATCCTATAAGTGTTATTACCATCCCCCATTTTACATATAAGAAACCAGAGACTTAGAGTGGTTATGTAACTTGCTCAAGGTCAACATAGAGCCTGGATTTGAGGTCAGGTCTACGTGACCACAGAGCTTAAACCCTTGACTACTTCTCATACTGCCTTTCCTATCCAGTTCACTGGTAAGTTCTTCCATTCTACCTGGCGACATTCCTCACAGTCATGACCTCTTTTCCTTCCCACCTTAGCTGCCCTCAGCATCTATCATCAGATGGCTTTAGCAACCAGACCCCCCACTGGCAGGCTCTTTCTCCTTCAGCTCCTTCTGCACACTGCCCTAGGAGTCATCACACCAAATCCCAACTCTGGCTCTGGCTCAAAAATTCTCAACTGTTCCCCACAGTCCAAACCCCTGCACATGTTTTCGAGGCCTTTTACATTTCTTCCGCTCCTTCCCAAACTCTATGCCGCTCCATCTTCACCAGCCTACAAACTGCATCTGAACACACATACACTCCTTCCCTCCTTCTGGGCTTCTTGCTCAGCCTGTTCCTGCTGCCTAGAATCCCCTGCACTTCTGTGTATCAAATGTCCCAGCCACCTCCTCCTTCATTAACCCTTTCCTTTATTTTTTTTTTAATTTTTATTTATTTATTTATTTATTTATTTATTTATTTTTTTTTCAGCTCTTAGACACCAACGGATATTTATTTTTTTAAGACAGAGTCTCGCTTTGTTGCCCAGGCTAGAGTGAGTGCCGTGGCGTCAGCCTAGCTCACAGCAACCTCAAAATCCTGGCTCAAGCAATCCTCCTGCCTCAGCCTCCCAAGTAGCTGGGACTACAGGCATTCGCCACCATGCCCGGCTAATTTTTTGTATATGTTAGTTGGCCAATTAATTTCTTTCTATTTATAGTAGAGACGGGGTCTCGCTCTTGCTCGGGCTGGTTTCAAACTCCTGACCTTGAGCAATCCTCCCGCCTCGGCCTCCCAGAGAGCTAGGATTACAGGCGTGAGCCACCGCGCCCGGCCCTTTTCCTTTATTTTTTATTTTTTTAGGTCAGGTGCGGTGGCTCACGCCTGTAATCCTAGCACTCTGGGAGGCCAAGGCGGGCAGATTGCTCGAGGTCAGGAGTTCAAAACCAGCCCAAGCAAGAGCAAGACCCCGTCTCTACTATAAATACAAATAAATTAATTGGCTAACTAATATATAGAGAAAAAATTAGCCAGGCATGGTGGCACATGCCTGTAGTCCCAGCTACTCGGGAGGCTGAGCCAGGAGGATTGCTTGAGCCCAGGATTTGAGGTTGCTGTGAGCGAGGCTAACGCCACGGCACTCACTCGAGCCTGAGCAACAAAGTGAGATGCTGTCTCAAAAAAAAATTTTTTTTTCATACATTCTTTTTGTTTTCTTTTTAATTTTGTTTGTTTATCTTTCTTAGTCTAAATCCTTTCCTGATTTTACACCCCGTCCTTCCTCTAGGGTTGGAAGGAATCTCAATTTTTTATAGCAAAAATCATGTTGTACACCTAGTCCAGGAATGCAGGACCTATTTTTGGTCCACATCTATCTTCTACACAGTATAGCCTAGTTTAACCCAGAGCAGGTCCTTCAACAATGTTTAGGGCTGGGCAAGCCCAATCCAGAACAGCTGTCAGTGACTACTATAAAAATGACAAGGACAAAGAGTCTGTTGTCATATCAATAGCTCAGGAGCTTTCTGCAGTGGGCTGGCAGCCTCTGGTAGCAGCATGGGCTAAGGATTCCCAAACACACTGCCCTCAGCCTCCAACAGCAACTCCAGTCAGTCCGCGACACTGTGGGTAGCTATCTCTTCTCCTTGCCCCATACACTCTACACACACCAGTGTCTCCTCTGCGGTTGCTGTTCCCTTTCCCTGCTTGTCCTCCTCTCTTTAGGCAGCATTTACTTCAGCGGGTTTTGACTACATGGTAAAGGAAGTGAGACTAGCTGGATGGAACCTCTCTGGAACACTCACTTGATTAGCATAGCGCTTTGGTAACTTCTTGCCACTGTCAACGTCCATTTCTTCATCATCTTTCTTATCTTCCTCCTCACTGACCACCCCTGTCCAGTCATCTTCGGCTAGTCTTCTGGCATGGTTCACATAGTCCAGCCTCTTGCTGCAGGAAAGAAAGGCACAAGGACAGGTCTTTATGTCTCAGGGCCACGTACTGGTCCATAGCCTGGTAGGGATGGGGCCGCAGAGCTCCACCTACCCCCACCCCCATCTGTGGAAAAATTGTCTCCCATGAAACTTAGGAACCCGGTGTGGGGGGGCACACAGCAGGAAGTGAGCTGTGGTTGAACAGCCAGGGAAGCATCATCTGTATTTACAGCCACTCCCTGTCCCCCGCATGCCCTCCTGAGCTCCACCTCACTGCCCCCCATGCAGAAATTATGAAATCATGGAAGTTTCTTCCATGAAACGGGTCCCTGGTACCAAAAAGGTTGGAGACCGCTGCCCTACAATATGATCGATTTAATTTAATTCAAAGGTTCCAAATTGGGGAGCAACATGGGGATTCTAGTGGGAGTAAGAAATGATGAAATCTCCTTTACAAGGCTAAACTAGTGATTGCCTCCTCATAGATCCTAAATGGGGACCCCCCTCTGAATACACTCAGCCTTCCTCAGAGTTTCCTAAGAATGGGCAAAGGAAAATATTTAAAGGAGTTTCCAAGGTTCACTACCTGGAGAGGCTGACCTCACCCCCACCCCACCCCATCCCACCCCAGACTTCCATCCTCACCCCAGGTGAGAGTTGACACTTCCCTGCCTGGCAGATCCTTCATCCAAAAGCCCCCAGTGATGGAAAAGAGGAAACACTGAGATGTAGAGAGAAGTCTAAAAGAAGGACAGCTTCTGGGGCTTTCTGTTTTATATAGCCATCTTTTTTTTTCTTTTTCTTTTAAGAGATGGGGGTCTCGCTATGTTGCCCAGGCTAGATTCAAACTCTTGGGCTCAACTGATCCTCTTGCCTCAGCTTCCCAACTAGCTGGAACTGTAGAAGGCACATACCACCATGCTTGGCTTATACAGCTTTCTGAGAAGCCAGGCCTTTCTCCAGTTCCTGTCTAACTTCTGAAAAAGATCACTTACTTTACAATTTAATATCTGTTACTTGTTTCCTTTTATCATTATCTTTCACTTAAAAAAAACCCAACTGCATATCCTAGAACATTTGAGAAATTGAGAAGAAAAAGAAGCTTTTGGAACCTAATTATTTCAAAGTGGTTTAGAAATGCCACATAATCTCCCACACTTGATTCCCTCAATGCTAAGGCAAGAATTCAACCACAGAGGCAATGAAACCACCACAGCTGCTGTCTTCTTAAACACATATGTACATTCATGAAATGTACATGAAATGTACATTCATGAAAAAGTGTACATCAGAGAGAACATATGAAAGCACAGTGGTCTTTTATTTCAAGAATAAGAGCTGATATATTTGTACATGTGTCAAAGAATATATGTCTGTGGTTATTTCCCAGGCATTGTTTGTAATCCCAACAGAAGGAAACTATCCAGATGCCCATCAGTAGGGGAATGATAACATTATGAACTATCCACTCAATGGAATACCTGGCACTATAAAAAAGGAATGATGTGGCACTTTATGAAATGATACAGAATTTCTCAAAAAACACCATTAAATAAAAGGTTAGAGCTGGGTGCAGTGGCTTACGCCTACAATCCCAGCAATTCAGGGCAAGAGGATCACTAGAGGAAAGGAGTTCGAGATCAGCCTGGGCAACACAGTGAGACCCTGTTTCTAAAAAAATAAAATAAACAAGCTAAGTGTGGTGGCTCGTGCTCACAGTCCCAGGTACTCGGGAGGCTAAGACAGGAGGATTGCTTGAGCCCAGGAGTTCAAGGCTATAAGCTATGATCCTGACCCTGCACTCCAGCCTGCGTGAGAGTGAGACTGTGTCTCCAAAAATAAATAAATAATAAAACAGTTTTAAAAAAGCTTACATACATACAACCACACACAGTTGGTTATATCTGCCCTACCCAAGAATATCTTTGGAAGGATACACAAGAAACTAATAACACAGGAGCGGAACTGGTTGGCTAGGGGAGAGAACTGGGAGGGAGACTTTTCACCAAATATTCTTCTATATATTTTGAACCATAGGAATGTATTACTTACTCTAAAATAACGAATTACAATTAAATAAAGGGCAGTGGGGAGAATGATCTGGGAGTGTAATCTGCAAGCAACCTAAAGGCCATAGGGAAATATTTCTGTGAAACACATCCAGCGATGACATAGCACTGAGCAAAATACAGGATGTATGAGAACTGTGCAACTGTTAATAGCTTCTCCTAACTCCTAATTCCTTAACTTATGACCCAGAAGAGGCCCATGCTGCACTGGGAATAAAGACAGGCCCTGCCTTCAGAGTGGCTCAGCCCCAAATGCTACTATCCTGCTTTCTTTCCCTGTTTGTACATCTTGGCATTAGAATTAAGTGTATGGAAGACATTTCCTCAAATTCCCTGTTGAATTATTTGTCTTGAACTCCCAAGGGCTCCACAGAAACATTTGTGCTGAAGGCAGACAGGAAGACCACAGCCAATACCAGAATTCAGAGTGCAGAAGCCATACATACACAAGCAACCCAGGGAATGTGGGGAGTGGAGTATGGGCGTGGCTTTCACAAGTCCCTAATTTGCAAAGCTCACTACCTCTGCCAGGATAAAAGGAAAAACTTAACCAGCTAAGCTCTGGGTATAAAGGATACTGACCTCTGCCGGGATTTACCCGTCCCAACCTTGTGGCAAGAAGATCAACCTAAAAAGGGTCCACTTTGAAGGGCTTTCTGCACAGACAAGCCTGGAGCCTCCTAAATGGTCCACAGCTCCAGCTTGGGGAAAGACACCAGGGAGTTAAAGCATCCTTACGATTTCTGCAGTTCCAGTAACTGGCGGCGCCTCTCATTCTGCTCCAAGGAACTGTACTTGGACTTGTACTGGGACAGGCGGGGGTGTGGGGCAGCTGTGCTGTTCAGATCTTGAGACACAGAAAAGCTACTAGCCAGAGCTTGGCTCAGCTCTTCCATCTTCCCTACAAAGGAAAACATAAGAAAATGGTTCATTCATTTCATATTATCTCCTATGTACAGGCAGTTATGATGTAACATGATGGCTATATTTCTAAAGAATTCTCACTTAACACAAAATCACAATTGTTTCCATGGGAAAAAAGGAAGTTAAAAGGTAAATGAGTTACGTATTAGCCATAATGTTAATTCCTACAGAGATTTCATTGATGATCATTTTGATAGCTCTGAGTATATGGATATAAACTAAAACATCAGGACAGGTGTGGTGGCTCATGCCTGTCATCTCAGCACTTTGGGAGGCTGAGGTGGGAGGTTTGCTTGAGGCCAGGAGTTGGAGATCAGCCTGAGCAACACAGCAAGACCCCCATCTCTAGAAAAAATTAGCTGGGGGTGGTGGTACATGCCTGTAGTTCCAGCTACTCAGGAGGCTGAGGGAGGAGGATCACTTAAACCCAGGATTTTGAGGTTACAGTGAGCTATGATGATGCCACTGTACTCTAACCATGGCAACAGAGTGAGATTCTGTCTCAAAAAAACCCAAAAAACAAAACAAACGACAATCACTCAGCAAATTCACTCCATAATTGAACCTAACTTTTTCTCTTTGTTACCCATCACCATGAGCCCTGTCATTAATTCCTTAGCACCATGACATCCAGTGATGTGATCAAGCATCTAATTTTTCCTGAGTTCTAAATAGCCATCACTCAATAACTAATATGATTCCCTGATACAGAGTTCATCCAATTGATTGTTTAATTCTCTAAGAAAGGCTAACTCACATTAAGAAAATTTAGCTCCAGGATAAACAGTGGTTCTGCGGCTCTTGGAGGAAGAAAAGAGGAGTCAAAAACCCTAAACCTGCTTCTTTTCGCCCGGAGGAGCCGTCATCTTCCAGTAATTCACCAAAATGACGAATACAAAGAGAAAGAAGAGAGGCATCCGATACATGTTCTCTAGGCCTTTTAGAAAACACAGAGTTGTTCCTTTGGCCACATACATGCGAATCTATAAGAAAGGTGATATTGTAGACATCAAGGGAATGGGTACTGTTCAAAAAGGCATGCCCACAAATGTTACCACGGCAAAACTGGAAGAGTCTACAATGTTACCCAGCATGCTGTTAGAATTGTTGTATATAAACAAGTTAAGGGCAAGATTCTTGCCAAGAGGATTAATGTGCATATTGAGCACATTAAGTACTCTAAGAGCTGAGATAAGCTTCCTGAAACATGTGAAGGAAAATGATCAGAAAAAGAAGGAAGCCAAAGAGAAAGGTACCTGGGTTCAGCTGAAGCGACAGCCTGCTCTACCCATAGAAGCACACTTTGTGAGAACCAATGGAAAGGAGCCTGAGCTGCTGGAACCTACTCCCTATGAATTCATGGCATAATAGATGTCTCATACTTTGTGAGAAGCGACAGAAAGGAGCCTGAGGTGCTGGGACCTGTTCCCTATGAATTCAAGGCGTAATAGGCATAGCACACCGTGAGAAGCAAAGAAAGGACCTCGAGCTGCTGAAACCTATTCCCTATGAATTCATAGGAGACAAACAGAATAAAAGCCGCTGGACTTTAAAAAAACCCAAAAAACCCTAAACCCAGCTGTTACTTCCTCATTTTACAGTTTTATTTTGTTTCTGGGTGGGCAAAAGGAATGTTTCAGGACTAACTATGTGAGACTCACTTGGAAAAGAACAAGGATGTGGAAGAGTGCTTAACAGGTAATGCCAGTGCTCCAGGAGTATGAAGGACTTCCACGTGGAACATTAGGGAGACAGGCAGAGAGTAGATGCCATTTGGGAGATAACCTGTCCAGGCAGGCCCTAAAGAACACTCCTGTGAATAAAGGTATAAGGTGGCAGCTCACCAAGGGTTAAAGATGTGCCTTGGATTGTAAGAAGACAGAAACATTTGGGAGAAATCTGACTGACATTGCTGGGCTGGCCCAACCCTTTTGTTCCAGTGTAACAAGAGGGCACCACCAGTGCTTAAACTCCATCCAGGGCCAGGTCCAGTATTTTGAGCACCAAAATCCAGTTTCATTCCAGAGCCTCCACAGTTAAAAATATAACTCCATAGTCCTCCACCTGGCCAATGAGTTACTTTCCATTGTACACTTGAAGTCAGATTTTTTCTTAATTTGAAGCATAGATTTCTTTTTTTTTAATTTGAAAGGAACTTAAAAATTGTGTTTTGCTAGGCATGGTGGCATGCACCCACCGTAGTCCCAGTTACTTGGGAAACTGAGGCGGGAAGATAGCTTGAGCCCAAGAGTTTGAGGCCAGCCTGGGCAACACAGCAAGATTCTGTCTGTAAACAAACAAACAGTAGTTAAATACACAACACATGAAATTCACCAGCTTAACCATTTTTAAGTTTGCAGTTCTGTAGTGTCAAGTACATTCATCATTGCTATGCAACCAATCTTTGGAACTCTTTTCATCTTGCATAAGTGAACCTCTATACACTTTAAACATGAAAGGAACTTTTTTAGTACATAAGATTAAAATATTATCAGTGTAAATTTGAGGTCTGTCTTAAAACATTTGTAATGCAACCAGTGGTGGCCATTCCTGGATGCTTCTTTTTTTTTTTTATTTTTGAAACAGAGTCTCACTTTGTTGCCCAGGCTAGAGTGAGTGCCGTGGCATCAGCCTAGCTCACAGCAACCTCAAATGCCTGGGCTCAAGCAATCCTTCTGCCTCAGCCTCCACAGTAGCTGGGACTACAGGCATGCGCCACCATGCCCAGCTATTTTTTTCTATATATATATTAGTCGGCCAATTAATTTCTTTCTATTTATACTAAAGACGGGTCTTGCTCTTGCTCAGGCTGGTTTCGAACTCCTGACCTCGAGCAATCCGCCGCCTCGGCCTCCCAGAGTGCTGGGATTACAGGCGTGAGCCACCGCGCCCGGCCCCTGGATGTTTCTTGAGGCCAATGATGAGTACTTGGGATCCACATGGTATGCCACCCAAACCATCTATGCCATTTTCTTTGCTTTTTGTACTTTTGTGTAGTTTGAAAAAAATGTCCATAATAAAAAATTTTTTTAATTCATTGAGCCTTCAGTTCACCAACATAATTACCAAATCCAAAACACCTTTGTTAGGGCTTATCATGCATTATCTTGGTGTGAGCATCCCAGTCTGCCAAAACCACACGATCCTCAAAACCCACGCCTTGGGTCCTGGGGCGGCCCCGTGTACTTCCGGCTTGTCTCTTCCCAGCCGGCTCCCGCACCTGGGTCCGCAGCCCCACGCAGCCTCACACTTCCTCTGCATGCCCCGCCCCGATTCCCGCCCCGGCGGCCCTCCGGGGCCCCGCCCCACGCCCCTCCCGCCCTCGTTCGCCCCGCCCCTCCGCTCCGCCCGCCCCTCATGGCCCTCCGCGCTTCCCCGCCCCCATCTACCGGGCTCTCTGACCAGGGCGCCCCACCTGCCCCCTCGGCCATTCCCCCCGCCGCCGCCCCCACCGCCTTTTTCTAGGAATGAGGCCATCTAGGCGTCGCACGATTCGTGCCTCCCCCAAAAAACGTCCCTCAGGGGTCTAGGCCGGACAGCCTGGAACAGAACAAGGGAAACGCTCCTAAGGGGAGGCCCCCGCCTGGGCTCTGACCCTCCAGACGACCCCCTGGGAGGCCAGGGTGCAGAGCCAGTGATAGGGAGTCACGGCCCGATGCTCCGAGGCAGCTCGGGAGCTGGAGGGGCCTGGGCTCGAACCCAGGACTCACCGGACCGAGGTGACAGTTGCACGCGCCGCGCCGCCGCCGCCGCCCGGACCAACCAATCACTTGCCCTGGGTAAGCAGGGCCCGCCCCCTCGGCCACTACCGCACCGCGGGGCCCATAGGCCTTGCGCCCGGAGTTTCCGCACCCGGCTGCCTTTGGGAACTTCGCGAGTTTGGTCGCCCGCTGGCCCTCACTCAGTCCTCAACGGCGGCGGCTTTTCCCTTCGACCAGGGCGGGCGCCCTGCTGATTTGCGTTGCGCTGTCCAGGACCTCTCCCGCAAGAGGACTCCCACAAGCCGAGGCCTCTCTGCGGGACACAAGCGCCTCGGGGCTCCTCTCGCCTTACGAGGCGCTCGGATTTCGTGGCCGGCGTTCAACGCCCTGGGCCCTGTCTCTCCCCTCGGTCCTCAGAGCCCTTAGGGCTGCGCCCAGAGTCTGCTGCTCTCCTGTGCCCGCGCTTTTGTGCCGGCAGTGCAGCTGCCTGGATGACTCCCCTCGCCCCTCACACCCCAAGTTTCGGACAGTTAGACGTTCCTTCCCCGTTCGCTCTCAAAAACCAGGCACGTACCTGGATTACTGCCCTTGGCGGGGTGTGGGGGCGTCTCCTCGCATCTGCGCTTGGCAATGGCAGGGACCTGGCTTGGTTCCTGCTTAGGTAGGCACGAGGGATGGCGCCCAGGAGACCCTGGGTGAAGGAATGATTGAATTGGTGCAAGGGGTTGGCGGAAGCAACCAAGATTAGGAGCCTTAATCAAAACACCGTGCAGCCTCTGAGGGGTGGAACTGATGAGATGTAAAATTAAAACCTGAATAGCTTTTTTTTTTTTTTTTTTTTAGACAGAGTCTCACTGTTGCCAGGGCTGGAGTGCCGTGGTGTCAGCCCAGCTCACAGCAACCTCAAATTCCTGGGCTCAGGCGATCCTTCTGCCTCAGCCTCCCGAGTAGCTGGGACTACAGGCATGCGCCACCATGCCCGGCTAATTTTTTCTATATATATTTTAGTGGTCCAATTACTATCTTTCTATTTTTTTTATTTTATTTTTTTTGAGACAGAGTCTCACTCTGTTGCCCAGGCTAGAGTGAGTGCCGTGGCGTCAGCCTGGCTCACAGCAACCTCAATCTCCTGGGGCTCAGCGATCCTACTGCCTCAGCCTCCCGAGTAGCTGGGACTACAGGCATGCGCCACCATGCCCGGCTAATTTTTTATATATATATCAGTTGGCCAATTAATTTCTTTCTATTTATAGTAGAGACGGGGTCTCGCTCTTGCTCAGGCTGGTTTTGAACTCCTGACCTTGAGCAATCCGCCCGCCTCGGCCTCCCAAGAGCTAGGATTACAGGCGTGAGCCACAGAGCCCGGCCTAGCCACAGCGCCCGGCCTAGTCACACAGCTTTTTAACCAAATGTTTGAATTTGCTGAATGTTTGACTTACAGAGACGTAAGTTAGCTATTACTATACTATAGAAATAAAATATCCAAAGTTGAGGCATTTTAAGTCCAAAAAATGCCAAGATATGGACTTGTATATTTTATGTACATGACACCATCCATTTGGACTAAAAAGAACAAGAGATTAGACCAGGGATCCTCAAACTTTTAAACAGGGAGCCAGTTCACTGTCCCTCAAACCATTGGAGGGCCGACTATAGTTAAAAAAAAAAAAAAAAAACTATGAACAAATTCCTATGCACACTGCACATATGTTATTTTGAAGTGAAAAAACAAATGAGCAAAAACACCCGCATGTGGCCCGCAGGCCCATAGTTTGAGGACACTTGGATTAGACTGACAAAAGGTCATTATTAAACTCGTAAAGGGTAGAAGGCCTGGAAGGCCAGTTTTTTGGACCTCAGAATTTATTTAGGTGGCTAGTTGAGCCCATGGTGGTCCATACCTATAGTTCCAGCTATTTGGGAGGCTGAGGTGGGAGTATCATTTAAGACCAAGAGTTGAGTCCAGATGGAGCAACAGCAAGGCCCTATCTCTAAATAATAATAAAATAAAAATAATAGAATTTATTTAGGTGGTTCTATCTTTTAATGGCCAGGCTGAGCAAAGCTGTGTACTGGGTTATTTATTTGGTGTATCCACAAATAAAACCTCATGTTTGCTTGATTTATGAGACTGACAAAAAAGAAAAGCCTAGGGCCTGCCTTCACTAGGAAACTTGACATCAGGATATTAAGTATTCTGTGTCCCAGAACCAGCATTCCCTACTCACAACCACAGAGATCACATCTACTATTCAGAGCTGCACAGAAAAGAATAAAGACTCTACACATTGGAGGAAAACAGACTGATGTTGAGAAATAAGTCCCCAAATTCATGCACCAAGGCCCAGGAGAAAGATTCCAGTCCCTCACTTGTACCCAGCGGAATAATTTTCTGTCTCACTGAAAAACAGACAAACAAACAAAATGGCACTTGGCCCAAGGGTTCTTTTGGAGCCCGACAATGTTCCAGGAAAGTGCACCCTCACCTTCACAATGTTGGCCACATACACATATACCTGTGCTTAATGCCTTTAAATTAATTCACTTAAAAAAAGCCTAAAAAAAAAAAAAAAAGCCGGAGGATAGCTTGAGGTTAGGAGTTGGAGACCAGCCTGAGCAAGAGCAAGACCCCGTCTGGGCCGGGCGTGGTGGCTCACGCCTGTAATCCTAGCACTCTGGGAGGCTGAGGCGGGTGGATTGCTCGAGGTCAGGAGTTCAAGACCAGCCTGAGCAAGAGCGAGACCCCATCTCTACTATAAATACAAAGAAATTAATTGGCCAACTAAAAATATATATACAAAAAATTAGCCGGGCGCGGTGGCGCATGCCTGTGGTCCCAGCTACTCAGGAGGCTGAGGCAGGAGGATCGCTTGAGCCCAGGAGTTTGAGGTTGCTGTGAGCTAGGCTGACGCCATGGCACTCACTCTAGCCTGGGCAACAAAGTAAGACTCTGTCTCAAAAAAAAAAAAGATCCCGTCTCTACTAAAAATAGAAAAAATTAGCCAGGCAACTAAAATAGAAAAACAATAGCCAGGTGTGGTGGTGCATGGCTGTAGATCCAGCACTGTGAAGGCTGAGGCAGGATTGCTTGAGCCCAGGAGTTTGAGGTTGCTGTGAGCTAGGCTGATGCCACGGCACTCACTTTAGCCTGGGTAACATAGGGAGACTCTGTCTCAAAAAAAAAAAGCCTGAATGCATTTATTTAAAGGGCAACATCATCGTATTACCTTATATCACTTTCCACTTTAATAGAAGGTGTCTACAAAATAAGTATAGTAAAAATAATATAATGTTATAATCTTGCTAGATACTGATATATCTACAGGAAGCTGAGAGACTAGGGACTTTCAAAATTAGAGATTAGGACTGGGTGCGGTGGCTCAGGCCTGTAATCCTAGCACTCTTCCAGGCCAAGGCGGGCGTATCACTGGAACTCAGGAGTTCAAGACAGCCTGAGCAAGAGCAAGACCCCATCTCTACTAAAAATAGAAAAATTAGCCGGGCATTGTGGCACATGCCTGTAGTCCCAGCTACTCAGGAGGCCAAGGCAGGAGGATGGCTTGAACCCAGGAGTTTGAGGTTGCAGTGAGCTATAATGATGCCACTGCACTCTACCCAGAGTAACAGTGGGAGACTCTTGTTTCAAAAAATATTTCTTTTTAATTAAAAAAAAAAAAACCAGATCAGGCATGGTGGCTCACGCCTATAATCCTAGCACTGTGGGAGGCTAAGGTGGGAGGATCATTTGAGTTCAAGAGACCAGCCTGAGCAAGAGCGAGACCCCATCTCTACAAAAAAAATAGAAAGAAATTAGCTGGACATCTAAAGATATATATAGATAAAATTAGCCAGGCATGGTGGCTCATGCCTGTAGTCCCAGCTACATGGGAGGCTGAGGCAGGAGGATTGCTTGAGCCCAGGAGTTTGAGGTTACTGTGAGCAAGGCTGATGCCATGGCACTCTGGCCTGGGCAACAGAGTTGAGACTCTGTCTCAAAAAAAACAGAGATTGGCAAGTGTTGGAGAAGTGATAAGGATTCACAACTAACAGAATTTTTCTTTCTTCTGCTAAGTGCCTATGGGCAGGGGAATTCCTACCTAGAATAGAGGAGTTGAGAGCAGGAAAGGGTCCAGCCCTTCCAAAAGAGGAAGCACTTTCTAGGAGCCCCAAGTGTCACTCTGTGGGTCAACTAACAAATGTGCATTCAATGCCAACTGTTTGTCAGGCGGTGTGCCAGGCCCAGGAGATACCAAAATGACCAAGACTGACATGGTTCCTGCCCTCCGGGAGCTTACAGCCACTGGTAGGGAAAGACACATAGTGAGTACTGTAACTGCATAGAGATGAATGCCAAGGAGCTCAGGTGGCTGGGAAGGGAAAGGATATGGGGGCTGCAGGGAATTCCTTTGAGTAGAGGCCTGAATGGCCAGAAGGAGCCAGCCAGGAGGACAGGGGGGCAAGCCTTTCCAGCAGAAGGCGCAGTGTGTACAAAGAGAAGCTCTGTGTGAGGAGAGACAAAGGCCAGGACAGAAACAAAGGAGGGTAGTGGAGGCAAGGGCACAGAGGCAGGTAAGGGCCTGAAGGCCGTGGTGGGGATTTGGATTTTACCTGTGTTGCAGATGAGAGTTTTTAAAGAGTTATGAGATAGCGGGATTCTAGCTTCGGAGAGCTCACACCAGCTCCTTCATAGAGTGAGCAGCCAAGCAAGTGTGCAGGCTGAGAGGCAGCAAGGGGGCTGGCATGGAAGTGTGGCCCCGGATGTGATGGGAGAGGCTGGATTTAAGACACAGCCTGGATGTAAAACTGGGAGGGCTTATTGCTCTTAAAGGGGGAGAATTAGCAAGAATTATACATGTGTTATATAGTCTAGTTCCCAGCCAAGACTTTCCCCTTGAGGTAGAACTAAAAGAAAATAGAAAAAGGAACTTTCTCCCTATGTAAATCAATGTCATTAAAGGCCAAGGCTAAGTCAGGCTTGGACACAGCCTGTAGGAAAGTGAAGAAGCCAAGAATGCCAGGAGGGAGGAGCATACTTGACAGGGGCTCACCTGAATCAGGATGCAGAAATGGCAACCTTGGAAGAACACTAAAGCTCCAGGGGGCCACACCTCTTCCCCTCTGTAGCCTCAATGCCCCAAGGTCTCTGAGGCCCAGCTCTGGGTGAGAAGAATCATGAGGGTGGTTAAGGGTTAAGTTCTTGGACTCTGGAGCTAGATGGCCTGGGTCCATCTAGCTCAGCCACCTAGGCTCAGCTACCTATTGGCCTTGTGGCCTGGGTTTGTTATTTCATCTTTTTTTGTTTGATTGAGACAAGTTCTTGCTCTGTCACCCTGAGTAGAGTGCAGTAGTGTCATCACAGCTCACAGCAACCTCAAACTCCTGGGCTCAAGCCATCCTCCTGCCTTGCCTCCTGAGTAGCTGGGACTACAGGCATGTGCCACCATGCCTGGTTAATTTTTCTATTTTTAGTAGAGACAGGAGTCTCACTCTTGCTGAGACTGGTCTCGAACTCCT